GAGGAGGATTGAGGACCTCCAGAGCTGCAAGAGGCCCCTCTGGGCTTCAGTCCTGAGGCTGTAGAAAATTAGGGAAGGATTATCCAATGAGAGTTTGCATTTGTTCAGGGCTTGTGGTAAGATTTGGTGGGGTAGGCATAGATCAGGCCATTCACTGTACAAAGGTTGGTGTTTACTAGAGGAATTGTGGAAAGGGCGGATGGCAGGTAGAAGAAAATAAAACCACCGTAGCCTCACTTCACAGCGACACGACAGTGTCACATTAACATTATGTACACACATCCACCCCGTCCCACACAACCCTGTTTGCTGCCTGTGGATGTCCTAGGACTGAGCCCTGTCCACTGGAGATCTGGAGGTTCCAGCGTCCTAAAGAAGGCAGCAGTGCACATCTCTGTGGCTTGGTGTCCATGCACAACCACCATGGTGTCCTCAGCTGCCCTTCAGAGGTGGGCTTGCAGGCCCACAGGGCCCTGCAGGTTTCAAAGGTGGGTCCCTGCAGGGAGCTCCTATTGTCCCCGGCCAGCATCTCTGCAGCATCCTCTGCACCAGACTGCTACTTCTGACCTGGGTTCTTTGGGTCATCCTCAGAACCATGTCACTCGTGTCTCTTGTTTGCTGATAGTCCATGGTCTGAAGAGTGTCCATAATGGCCCTGATCTGTGTCTGCCTGTCCCATATATCCTTTCACCACATTGACCTGTCGCATTCCTCGAGCACACCAGGTACCCTCTTGCCTCAGGGCCTTTGCATAGGCTGTTTCCTCTGCCGGAAGTGCTCTCCTCTCCGGTGTCTGCATGGCTTCTTCTGCTTCTTCATGTGTCCCCTCCTGAGTGACATTTAGGTCACCCTCCCCTGTCCTTTCCTTTCTCCTCTGCTAGCACACTATGTGACTTACTCCCCTCCCCAGGCAGATTCTCTACTTTGATCTGTTTTGAAGCCCTGGGGCCTGGCACACTGTCAGGGCACACATGTGTAGTGTGGCCGCCCTGGCCTGGGCCCTGGCTGCAGGAAGCCCCTGCCTGCATGTCACCCACCTCCTGGGCCTATGTGGGGGTTCAGTGGGATGTTGTGGGGTGATGACTGTCCTGTGGGCATGGCAGCATGGGTGTTGGACCTGGACCCTTCCCAGAGCCCCCTGGCCTGCTCTTGGCTGTGCCTGTCTGAGCAGTGGGCAGGAGAAGATGGGTCGATGTGGGCAGGGTCGCTGTCTGACTGGGAGATTGGTGTTCAGCTCCCATCAGGGACAGCAGTGGTGCTGCAGAGAGCAGCAGGGGTGAGGTGAGGAGGGACAGGACCTGGCGATGTCCGTTGTCTTCCTGGTGCCACTTCCCAGACTGATGCCTTTGAGATGCTGGCAGCACAGAAGGGCAGAACAACCAGGAGCCCTGGCCGGGTCCCTTTGTCTTGGCGTGGGCAGCCTGGCCTCCCTATGGCCTGGGCACACTGGGAGTTGAGGAGGTCGGGATTCTCATCCAGGTCTGGCTCTCCAGCTTCTCTGAGTAGGTGGAGGGCCCCCTCCCTGCCCCAGCTGGGCCACCTCCAGGACACACGTCTGGGCTCAGCCCAGCTTTGGGGCTGAGGCTGTGAGCCCAACCATGAGGACCATCAGAATTTGGTGCAAATCCAAACTTGCCTGCTTCTTAATTGTGTGGTTTTGGGCAAATTATTGAACCTCTCTGAGCCCCATCATGTAGAGTGTACTGTGTTGTGAATCTTTGACATCTGTGCAGCCCTGGGATCCCTCTCTGTGATAGCCTTGGGCAGTGACAGTCTGTGTCACTATTTGACACCTAGCATAGGTTTCTGGCCATTCTCATACCCATATCCCCACGGTGCCCAGCACAGAGTTTGGCATGATGAAGGGTGTTAGGAATTAGCAGCCCCTAATTGGATTTGGGGACCTGGTTGTGTCTCATGGGCAGAATTGAGAGGTTTCTGAAAGGTTTTCCTGCAGAAGGGCCCTGTAAGCCTGGCACCTGAAAGATTTGGGGCAGCAGACTCTGATCCAGCTTGTGGCAGATCTCTGACGTGTCCCAGGCCAGGCAGGACACCTGGCATGGAGGGTATGTCTGTGTCTCCTGCTTGGTGGGGAGAGGTGAGGGTTGGTGGGAGCCAGGCCCATCCCCAGGGTGCTGCAGGCTGGCGTGGTGCAGGAAGCACCGAGCCGTGCCAGGCATGGGCGGGGGGAGGGGCAGGAGGCTGAGGAGCAGCTGCAGCCCAGGGAAGAGCAAGGTTGGGCTCCCCCCAGGGGATCCCTGCTGCTCACTGTGGCCCCAGTGCCAGGGGAGCCCAGCAAGCAGAGGCAGCGTCCGTCACCACACCCAGGCTGGAGTTGGGGCTGGGGCCTTGCGTTCCACTGCATTGCCAGAGAGCGGGGGGGTGGGGGGGGGGGTGGGACACACAAGGTCTGGGACCTCAGGGAAAACCAATAGTGGGTTGGGCCCATTCTGGCCTGACCCCTTTGCTTCGTCTTGGAGCCTGTGCCCTCTTGCCCGTAGCCTAAGATGCAGACAGCGGGACAGAGCTCAGGTGGTTCTGCTTCTGCACAGGGCAGTGTCTGACCACCCTTGACTGATAGATGGGGCTATCAAGGTACATTGTGCACCTCTGAGAGGAGGAGATGAACAGACATTAAAGGAGAGAAGTCGGGGGACCAGTGTGCTACAGCCTGAGCTGGCTCTGTGGGATTGTGCTGGGGTGGGGGTGTGGATGCATGGACTCCGATCTTGCGAGACATGCACCCTGCTGATCATGGGGGTGTGTGGTGGTCCCCTGGGGAGGAACTGTACCTCAGCTTCCATGGGGAAGGAGACAAGGAGCAGAGAATGGTTAGTGGAAAGATCTCAGGCAGACTTCATTCCAATCCCAGAGGGACCTTTCTGAGCCTCAGTTTCCTCATCTGTAAAATGGGGGCAAACATCTTCATAGAGATGTTTTGCAAACTGAGCAAAGAGAGGGGTGTGTTCCCTTTCTTCCTTCCTTCCTCCTTCCTTGTACTGACGTTTCCTGTCACACCCAGTGGGACGGCATGCATTCTCTAGCTATTTGTGGATGATATTCTTAGCAGATGTTTAATTCTCGAGACATCTGGTTTGCAAAGACAGAAGGCTGGAGATGTTTTTTCCTAAAGACACTCACTCACTGGGAGATGTCAGATTGTCACTTAATTGCTCTGTGCCTTGGTTTCTCCACTTGTAAATCAGGGATAATGCTAGCAATGCTGGCTACTCCTCTGCAGCGTGTGATGGGGTAATGCAGGATAACAGATGGGAAGGGGTTTGAATGTTTTGAAAAAGGCATCTTGCTAGTTAGTAGTTAGGGAAATGCAAATGACAACAGCAACACTGTACCGTTTTTCATGGGTCTGATTGGCAGCTATTTAAAAGAGGGATCACCTGCAGGTGGGTGCACAGGCCTCCCGTGCACCACTGGAGAGGCTGAGAATGGCCGTCACCTCACCAGAAGGCAACGTGGCAGTAGCTAATGAGAGTTTTTATCCACGCGCTGGGTTGTGTTGAATTGACCCAGCAATCCTACCGTTGGAGAACCAAATTAGAGAACCAAGTCTCAAAGCAGTTCCAGATAGAGATGTCCGTGGTGACATTGCCTGTGGTGGAACCTGGAAGTGACCAGAAACCCATCAGTGAGGCATTCATACTGGGAACCATTGTTGGCGTGGGAGAGAAGGAAACCTTCTATCATATTGGCCCAGGGGGCTGACTGTGGACTGTCGTGATCTGAGAAAAGCAAATGGCTTTCTTTGTTTTTGTTTCTTGAGACAGGGTCTCACTATGTAGTTCAGGCTGGCAGTCCTCCTGCTTCAGCCTCCCAAGCACTGGGATTACGGGTGTGCGTCACCACACCTGGCACAAAGTATTTCTTCTGTATTGAATTATTTACAAATATTTAAAAGTGGAATTCATATAAATGCTGAGTTTTGAGATTTTTGTTGAGAAACAAAAGAAACACAGGCCACCCTGGGGCCACAATCCCTCTTAGCTGAGCTGCGTTAGCAGCTGCTGCTTTTGGACAGAGCCTGTGTCCTGAGCGACTGTCACCCCGGCCAGTGGCCAGGGTCTCTCTCCTCATGTTTTCTGCCTGGTTCCTACAAGCGTTTTGGCTTGTGAACCTCTGTGATGGGTCATTAGACTTAGAGGGGGAAGTTCAGGGGGTCAGGGAGGAACCCAGCCTCTGTGTCACCTACATCTGAGGATTTTATTCTTCTAGCAGCTTCTTTCCTATAGATTAAATGCATGTTAGACGGAACAACAAAGGGCCCCATGGACAGTCTGTAATGTCTTGTGTTGGTCAGGAGCCATTGGTGGATTGGTGGGGCCACCTTGATGTCCACTCAGGACCTGAGCTGAGAGAGAGTACCCTCTGGTACAGACTGAAGGGCCTGAGGTCTGGGCCTGTTCTGACTCTCGCCTACGGTCTGGCAGAGATGTGCACACCTCCCCGCACAGACAGCCCATGCCTCACTCTGTTGCTCCAGGTTGCTTTGTTGGGGGGTCCTGGGAATTAAATCCAGGGTCTTCGTACTGAGCTACATCCCCAAGCCTTTTTATTTTTTTGAGACAGGACCTCACTAAATCTCTGACTTCATGGGCTTGAACTTATGATTGTCCTGCCTCAGCTTCCCAGAGTGCTGGAATTACAGACATGTGTTGCCACACCTGGCTCCCAGCTGAATACACCCACCGTGTCTGTTTGGAGATTTGTCAGTCTCCCTGCCAGCCAGCCAGCCCCGCCACACCCCTGCCCAGCCCCGTCACACTCAGGGCCTCAGTGTGTTATGCCCAGGACTGAAGCGTGGGGAGAGTGAACAACACAGACCCTTTCTTCCTTCCCTGCTCCCTCATCCCTGTGGGAGCAAATTTCTCCCCGTTTCTCAGGCCCACTTCTCCCTGGCGCTGCAGAGGTGGGGGTGCTTGAGGGTTGCAGAGTCACCTCCACCAGGAGGCAGTATCTCACCCCCTTCTTCTTTGTGTCCCCAGGAGCCATGAGGGGCCACGTGGCTGCCAGCTGCCCCGTGGTCTGGTTCTTTGTGCTGATCTCCGGATGCTGGGGTAAGTGCAGCCCTCCCCTCCTCTCCCCAGGCTGGCGGTGCACAGGCGCGGCTTGGCTTGTGTCCTGGACCCTGGAGACTGCCTTGCTCTGGGTGACAGGAGACACCCTTGCTCTCTGGGCTTCAGTTGCCTTCTGCAACTCACACTGAGCTGAAAATACCAGCTGTCCAGGGCACAAGAGAGCATGGGAGGAGTTGAGAAATACTTAAACTGCTCTGTGGCCGTGAACTGGCCTTCTCCTGGGCACAGGGACGGACACAGTTCTGTTCAGTTTCTCAGGCACCTTTTGAGCACTGCCTGAGTGTCACTGTGTGCACAAGGCATCCGACTCTGGAAGATGGAAGATGTCACTTATGCTTTGGGAGCCCCGAGTCTGGTGGCGGAGAGTTTGCTATGGTGTGGGGTACAGGGTGAACAGCATGTCACAGGGCCATCTGGGAAACCATGAGAAGGTGGGAGTTGCTGGGCTGTGGAGCAGAAAGCCAGAGAGCTTTTGCTCTGGACACTGAGGGGAGTGGGAAGAAGACATCCTGGAGGTGACAACCTGAGCATCGGCAGGCAGCCAGGAACTGTTTTTCTGCAGGGACACTTCCTCCCCATCCACTAGTGCCAGCTCCGGTGCCCTCAGAGAAGGCCAGAGGGTCTGGCCCTTGCTTGTCCTGTGGCTCCGGACTAGTGGGTTTCAAGGAAGAAAGTAGCTCTGGGTTGCTCCAAGGGCACCGAAAGCAGCCCATGACTACGTTGTGTGTGGTGTCCCCCAGGGCCGAGGTATCCCTGGGGAAGAGCTGTGGGCACGATGCCTGGTGACACAGGCAAACACATTCCTGGGGGTGGGGCGCTCCTTCTCCGCTCCAGGGAGCTGGCGGCACCTCATACTTGTAGGAGCATTGTCGCTAGCATCCTGCAGCTGAGGAAGGTCCCCTCTCCTGGCCTCCTGCTGGAATGTCTCCTATGCTGGGAAATCACTCGCACCCAGGCAGCCTTGGATTGCAGTCCAGGTGCTGAGGAGCCTCATACCCTCTGTCCACCCCCAGAGGAGAATCTGAAGCCTGTGGAGGCCACTGGCCAAGGTCATCCCGCTGATCCTCCAAGGAGCTTGTATCCGATTTCCACCCACCTGCCCCCTCTGGCCCATGCAGGAGGCCTCCTCAGGGCAGCTCTAGTCTCTGGTTAGTGGGAGCCAGGACACTTGCCCAGTTTCCCCAGGCACTCTGTGACCTTGGGAATTCCTCCCTACCACCCTGCCCTCTCCCTCTCCCTCTCTCCATCTCTTTTGAAGACACACAGAGGTGAGATGCAGTGAGTGCCACACCCTCGCTGGCTCGGTGGGATGCATCTGTCTCCCTACCCCTACCCTTGACCTTAACTCAGCTGTCCGGAGAGGACGGTTCACAGTTCAGCATGCACACAAGAGAGAAGTACCCGCCTGGCCTCGCCCTTTGGGTCCTAGTGCCACTTTCGTCATAGGGTCCCTAAGGACAGGTTTCTGAGCCTGCCCAAGCTTCAAATTCCCTTTCTCTGGTATAGGAACCACCCTTCCTCAGCTGCCAAAGTAGCCATGTGAATGCGTGCATTGAGCACTTACTTACGATAGTGCCTGGCATATAATAGGTGCTTAAAGAGCACATGTTTAGTGTTACCTGTATTATCAGCAGTCATCTTGTTCTGAGGGGTGAGAAATGGGGTACACAAAACAGAAAAGCAAAGTAAGGCCACCCAGCAGCTCTGCTGGAAAATGTGGGTGGTCTGTCTCTTGGCATTGCCTCTACATTCGGGGTCCCACTGTCTCATGGCTGGCCACATCCACCCTTCCTGGTCCCCACCCAAAGCAGCCAGGGCTGCTCCTTTAGCGTGGTGGATGGTGGCCAGCCTTGGGGACCGAAGCATGGTTTCTTGTACCATCTTTCATGTGCTCATCTGCCTGTGTCCACCCCTCCCCGTCCCCTGTCCTGCCCCACCTGATTTCCGTGTGACTCTGGCCCTGGCTCCTCCTACCCCTGGGAGTTGGGTCCACCCTGAGATCAGTTGAGTCCACCTGCCATCAACACTGCCATCTTTAGCCATCATCCCCTCTCTGCAGGATCCTGCCCTTTGCCCTTCCTTTTCCTGGCCACCACATACTCCTGGCATTTGTCATTCTTGGGGACCAGCCTGCCTCAACTCTGGGCTCAGCTGCTTGCCACTGGTCCTCAAGTCTTCGATCCCTGAGCCCCATGCCATGGTTCCCAGTGAAGGATGTATTTCCAGTCCTGGCATTCGGGTCTCCTCCTCCAGCAGGCACTGTCCCTCACAAGCGGGGCTGTCTGGGCAGCTCCAGGCCTCCTGCCTCCTCTGTGTGCAAACCCTTGTCTCTCCACATGCCGGCCCCCTCCCTACCTCTGCTGCCTTGGGCTCTGGGAGAGGGGCTGGGGAGGGCTGAGGTGCCAGGCATCGCTGATGATGCTGTGGGCCAGGGACAGAGAGGCCATGTTGGACCCAGAGGCTGGGTCACCTGCTGCTCTCCCCTTCTTCCTGTCCATCCAACATTCCCACCTCTCTAGAGACCTCCCTAGAAACCCCAAAGGTCCTGACACAGCAGCTTGGCCTCTGGTGTATGTGGCCTTTGTGCTTTAAAAGTGGTTTCTTAAGAGAGTAAGTCACCTTCTGCCCTCCCTCTCTGCCAGTCCGTCCCAGTCTCCGGTGCCTGCGATGGCAGCTCAAGGCCATCCGGCCACTGAGGGTGATAGGCCTGTTCTGAGAATGCAGGTTCCGCTTGGCGTGCGGCAGGCGGCACACATTCCTGAGTCCCTGCTCAGCGGCCGTGCTGAGCTCCCAGCCCCGTCATCGGCAGGTCCTGTAGCAGGAGCTCTCAGGGAGCAGTGCCAATGCAGGCAACTCTGCTTTTTCTTACTAGTTGTCCACCCCACCCCCAAGCCTTCCGCTAAGTTGCTGGGCGCCATGATCCCTCTGCCTGCCTCGGCTCAGCTGCTTCCTGCTTTCCTGTTTTGGGAACCCAAGGCCCCCAGCAGGGATCAGAATCCTCCCCCTCTGGCTGTGAAGGCAGCGCCTTTAGTAATGCCAGCATTAATAACAGCTACCATTTATTGAGTGCTTGCTGTGTGCCAGGAGGCATGGCACTAAGCGCTTTATGTATGTAATCTCATTTAATCCTCGGGTTAGCTATGAAGTAAGCCTTAGTGTTACTGTTACTTTGCCCATGAGTAAACGGAGGCATTTCAGAGAAGGCGAGGTCTTCAGCCACCACCTCTCCCTGAGGCTGCTGTGTTGCTCATGTGAGGGGGAGGTATATGTGCGGGCACAGATGGGCACTTGAGGTGGTCAGGGAGGGCGTCCTGGAAGAAGAGACTTTTCAACAAGGTGTAAAGGATGAGTAGGAACTTGGCAAGTGAAGGAGGAAAGGCAGCAGTCCTGGCCAGGAAGTGAGAGAGGCTCAGTGTTTGAGGGCCAGGAACAGCCCAGCCTGGTTGCTGGGACAGGATGGGGAAGGGAGAAAGATGCCCACGCCTCCTGGTTCTGCCTGGTGCCTTTCCTCATCTTCCTGACCCCAACCTCCTTGCACTCTGGGAGCCAGGCACGAGCTGAGTAAGAGCCCTGGGTCAGCAAAACAAGGGGAGGGTGAGCATCCCTGGCCTGCGTCTAGGACCCTGCAGGACCCAGCAGGAGTCCCTGGCCCAGCTGCCCCTGGTTGACAAGGACCAAGGGCACGCACCCTCACTTGGCCCCAGGGGCAATGTCGGGGGAAAGCAGAGCCAGCCTCGTGCAGGGGGACACACAGTGGGGCTTGTGGTGAGCAGAGCCCGTCTTAGATGCCTGCTTGCTCTGCCCATGACCAAGCCACTCTGACCCATCCAGACCCCACCCGCACTGTGAGGCTGTCAGCGGGCATGAGGGAGCAGGCCAGGCTGTGAGGTCTGGGTGCCACCTGCTTGCCGTGTCAGCAAGCACCAGAGCGCGGCACTTGTGGCCTGCAGTCCTTGTTTTGCTCAGTGTAAGAGGATACGGATGTACCTGCCTCCTGTCACTGGCTTGGGGCATGTGTCAGGTAATGGCACAGAGAGATGGTTCCAGAGACACCAGGTGCTTTCTTTTGGTGCTGGGGATCAAACTCACCACCTTGCACTTGCCAGGCAGGTGCTGTGCTGCTGAGCTAAGTCCCCAGCCACACCAGGTGCTTTTAAGTTATCAGTACGACAAATTTTGTGGGGTCGCCTGGCCAGTCATCCCTTCACACCACACATGGGTGCTGAGGGCATGGCAAGTTCCAGGCCCTGCTGTTGGCACCAGGTCACTGTGGTCACTGGAGCCCTTGACCTCACAAGCCAGCTGCCGGATGGAAATAAGATATGGCCTGCGAGTGTGAGTCTGGATTTTGCATTGACCACATTAGAAATATAAAAAGAAATAGGTAAAATTCATTAATAATGGGTTTTGCTTAATTGGATGTGTCCAAGAAGTACCACCTCAACATGTAATCAGTATAAAAGATTAACACGATATTTAACAGGGTTTTTGCAGCCTTTAGACTCCTGGATGGTGTTTTACTCAGTGTGGGTCAGGTGCAGCAGGCCTGCCTGTGGCCGTGGCCTGCCTGACTGTGCCACCTGTTCCCATTTGCCTCAAGGCAGGCGGTGACCTTCGGGGTCCTGGGAAGTTGACCACAGCACTGGACTCAGGGTCAGGCACGAAGCTGGCCTGGGAGGTCCTTGTCTGACTCTTGTCCCTTGACTTGCAGGCCAGGTGAACCGGCTGCCCTTCTTCACCAATCACTTCTTCGACACCTACCTGCTGATCAGCGAGGACACGCCTGTGGGTGAGTTGGCACGTGGGCTGGAGGGGGGCTGAGGCATGGGAGGCCTTTCCTACAAGGGAAGGGGCCAGAAGAGGCTGAGACTATCTTTCCCATTGCTGGAAGCACTTGTGTGGTGTTTGTTTGGTGGCAGCTTGGATGCCTCCAGGGAGGGTGCGCCTAGTACTTCCTGTGCTAGCCCATCCAGCAGAGGAGCATTCTGAGCAGCAAGGGCTAATCGCTGTGCAGTTCACGCTGGCCTTGAACGCACTGTATAGCCAAGGCTGGCCTCGAACTCATGGCAATCCTCCTGCGTCGGCCTCCATGCTGGGATCACAGGCATGTGCCACCACACCCAGCCTCTTGGGGATGTTAGAGGACAGTGTCTCCGGTAGAGTTTGTTTTGTGGCCCTTTGTACTTTTCTATGGTGACTTAGTTTCCTACATTCAGTATGTCTGGTTGGGTTTGGTCATCAGAAATGGGAGGCTGGATTGTGGGAACCCAGGCTGATGGTGCTGATGGGCAAACAGCATCCCTAAAAATGTCCCTCACCTACACCCTCACCCTTTCCTGTCCTCTCATTTGCACTGGTGTCATTGTAGTGCAAGTGCCTGCCACCTGGAGCCTCTTACACTCTGGTTTGTTTGCTCTGTGGGTAAAGGACAGGGGCTGTGAGCCAGGGCTGCATAAATCAGGGCAGCATGTAACATCCTTCTGGAGCACTGTTATTCTGGAAAGTGTGGCAGAGGGGCTTGGAGAGAAGAGGGCTACTAGGTTATTTGCCAAATGCCAAGTATTCGTTCATGTAAAACCAAATGTGTGCGTGTGGCAGAGTGGACACACTCTTCTTCAGAGAGCCCCAGTAACATGGGGAGTCCTAATGGGACTAACTCTCCCCTGCTGTTTATGGGGAACCGTGAGCAACTCCTGGCATGCTTTCTGGGGAGAATGTTTTGCAGGGAGGTTGGACATAGTCGGTATGTGGCTGATGGATGTGGGGCTTGTCCCTGTGTCCCAGAAGCGCTTTATTTCAAGGGACAGAAGCTTTGGAAAGTGGCTACTCCTCTGGTGACGGACCAGGATTGGAAGGATGAGTTTGGGGGCTGAAGTTTGGGCGTTTGGGTGTTCAGGAAGGCTCACCTGAAGGTTTAGCCGCCCTTCTGGGCTGGGAAGTATACCTGCATGGCTTTTTAGTTCTTTGCCCCCCTCTGGATGAGTTGGGGATGTTTGTGGGCTCCTCCTTTGTGATGCAGCTGTGTCCTTTCCATGTGGCTTGTATTGCCACCCAGACCTGGCAAGCAGCTGGTGCACCCAGTGCAGGGAAGTGAATGAACAGTTAACAACTCTGATCTTTTGGCTCCTTCTTTATTGTACGCTGGTGCCCCTGACTGCCTGGCCTGGGTGCTGTGGACACAGTGGGAGTGGACAGATGAATAAAGAGACCAGGGTACTGAGAAATAGGGACTGAGCCAGGTGTCTGAAGTCCCCTGGGGGATGGAGGGAAGAGAAGTTGTGTTTCTTTGAGCAGGGCAGGGGCAGAGGGATAGAGAACTTTGGGGGATAGGCCCTTAGCTTCACACACTGTTTTGAAAGCTGGCTTTCATCTCTGTCCTATGTCACTTCTTCCTGTAGGAGGTCCTCAGGATGGAGTGCCTGTCCTGGGGCTAGGTGGACACCAACACAGACATGTTGGCCATGTCCTGGTACTAGCTGGGAGAGTGAAGACTCCTCTCAAGTGGGCAGTACTGGCTGTGTCCCCCAAGTTGGGACCCTGTATGGCTGCCTCAGCCCAGAATGTGATGTCCTCGGGGGCCTGTGATAGAGGGAAGGTGACATGGGGTAACTTGATAGGTACTGATCATGACAAGTCCTGGGCTAAATGTCCTCCAAGGAGCCCCCAGCAGACCCTGCCCCTGTTACCTGGGGCTCTTGTTCTCTATTGTCTTTGCAAACACCAATGTCAATTTGCCTCTGACAGTAATGCCCAGGACTTGAAGCCCATGAAGGCTGCCTTTGGGAGTCACAGCAGGGACATCTGTCTGGTGCCATGAAGACTGATCCTGGCACCAGCAAGCTACAGGAGTGAGAAGGCCTCAATGAACTGAAAGACAGTACTTCTTGTCTCCTGGTGGTGGGTGGGTGCTGAGCTGGCCCACTGCCCTCCTGGTCTCTTCCCTGCCTTTTATATCAGGATGGGGGCAGCTTTGGCCAGATTAAGGGCCTAGTTTCTGTTCCTTGATGTGTGACCTTGGGCACAGTGCTGCACCTCTCTGGATTTCTATTTCTCCAGCTTGCCAGAGAGAAGGCATTGGAAAAATGGGCCCAGTGGGCTGTGCCTTGGGCAGCCTTGGTGTTTCCTGACCCTCACATGAGAAACCCTGGCCCTTCCACTGGGTGCTGGCAACCACACTGCGCTGGGCTCTTCAGGGGGTAGCTGTGGACTTGGAGATGTGGCAGGCTCTCTGGGTGCAGGCCTGTGACCAGCAGTGGATTGAAACTACTTGTTCAAGGACTGGCCCTTCCCCTCCCTGGAGAGAGGGGCAGCATGAGGCTTGGCACTTACTGGCCATTTACCCTGAGACCCTCAGGATTCCCATCGGCCAGACCAGTGTGGGCTTTTGCCATTGCTGGACCAGTAGGAAACTTGTATCTAATCCCACCAGCTCCAAGGCACATGCCCGGATTGTGGTGTCACTACTGCAGATTGAGTGGTCAGCACTGCCAACTCCAGGCCTGGTCACCGGCTTCTGCTTGGGCATCTGGTTGTGGGGTTCATGGTCTTAGAGGGCTATGCTTTGAGAGAGATCCAGGAATAAAAAATCTTTCCTAAGAGTAATACAAAATCTGTCTCCTTGGATCAGCTACCATCAGGTCTGATTCTGACTGCTGGAGCATCTCAGAATCATCGTCATCATCATCATGATGAATCCTATATAAGATAATATTGTAAATTGCATTTATTGAATGCTCAAGGTGATTTTATGCATTAATTCATTTAAAAATTTTCCTTTAAGGCTTGGAGGGAGAGAGGCTTTGTGTCAGCGCTGAGAATGTGCACTCTCCAGTTAGAGACAGGACCATTCCCTGCCACAGCCTTCTGAGTCTTCCCTTCCTCTTCTGCCCCCAGCTCACTTCACAGCGGTGGCCCAGGGCTGGGAGGGCAGTGGCTTGCAGAGCGCGGCCATCAGAAACTCCACGCGGGGCTGCACTTCTGTTGCTGTCTCCTCTCCTGTCCCAGGCTTGGGATCCCTCTGAGCAGTGTCCTCCTCCCAGAGAAGACAGAAGGCAAATAAACTCACTGAGTAGCTCTGTCTCCCCACCCCGCCACCCCTGGGCCGTGCGTCCTGTCCAGATGTGCAGGGGTCTTCAGCAGCAGGGCCTGGCCTGGGTGTGTGGGAAGAAGGCAGGTCCCTGACCCAGAACCCACCTCTGACCCTGGCTGGCAGCTGTGAGTGGCTCCGGGCACCGGTAGCTTGAGGGACAGGGCTGCGGGGCTGTTGTTTCCTGCTTGTCTGAGTCTGCTTCACCAGTACCATCCGGGGCAGGATCACCATTGCCATGTTGCGAAATCCAATCTTAATTCCCAGTCCTCGTGACCTTCTGGCATTCTCCATCTGGGCCCGTCTTCTCCATGGTGACTGCGGGTTCCCCACAGCTGCTCCGTACCCCACATTGGCAGCCCAGGGCTCGGCTCCTGCGCCTTCCCCAGCTCCTCACTCCTGCGGAATCTGGTCTGGTCTTGGGCTTGAGACGCTGTGGGGCTTAAGCACTCCCTGCCTCAGAGCAGACTCGGGACTCCCGAAGCCACCTTTCCACTCAGTATTTCCATGTGGTGGTTAGGGACCCTTGACTTTTGATGGTGGTGCTGAACCCCCAACCCCTGCTTTGCCTATGGCTGGGCCGTCTCTGTTAGATGTCACTCGGTCCTCCCGATGCTCAGGGTCAGTCCTGATCCTCTTTCTCTCTTGCCTCATATCCAATCCATCAGGAAATCTTAGTTCTGCATTCAGAATAGTTCTCAAATAGTGGGCATGATGGTGCACACCTATTAGCCCATCACTCTGGGAGGCTGAGGCAGGAGGATTGCTAGTTTGAGTCTAGTCCAAGCAACGTAGCGCTGAGTGAAACTGCCTCAACATAAAAAATTAAAAAGGGATGAGAATATAGCTCAATGTGAAGGCCTTGGGTTCAATATCTAGTTCCAGAAAAAAAATCCAGAACACTTTTTACGTCTCACCTCTTGCCTTCCTCCCATCACGGCCTGATCTGGGGTCATTCTAGCAGCTCCCCCAGGTCTCAGGGTCATCCTGCTTTGCCCTTTCTTCCCCCTAGCAAGTGAAGGGCCTGCTGCCCCCAAGCAGAGCCTGCTGCCCAGGTTTTCTCAAGTTCCCCCACCTCGAGTTAAACACCAGTCCTTTTCAGTGCCACCTGAGCTGTTGGCCGCCATCCCGGCCACCTCTCAGCCTCCAGCTCCCTTCCTGCCTTCCTCCCCTCACCCACTCCATGCAGGCCCCTTGGGGCTGCTTCAGGGTGAAGACCACGTTCCTTCCTCCCAGCCTTGGCAGTCACGGGCCCTGCTGCTCAGGACATGATAAGCCGCATTGGTCCAGATGCCACTGCCTCGGTGTGACTTCCTGGGTCTCTCCTGGCAGGGGCTGAGCTTCTGAGCTCCTTTTCTCTCTCCAGCACCTGGTCCCCCTAAGCACCAGTTGTGGTTGGGCTGTAAATACTTCTGGGTGGACAGGGCCACCTCAGTGTATCTAGGGACCGACCAGCTCTGTGACGTGTCTGGAACTTGGAGTGCTTTGGGGAAAGCCTGGAGTCTGTGTGTGATACTCCTCCAAGGCACCGCCTTCCATCCCTGGGGAACCTCAGGCCCGCGCTGCCCTTGCCTGGGTGTGAGCAGGCAGGTGTTAGTGACAGCGGGCCTGGCTGCCGGGAAGTGGGCCCAAGAGAGCACTTTCCCGGATGGCACAGACGCCGTGCGTGCCTGTGCCTGTGAATGGCAGGGCCCGTGCTGGTG